ATCTGCTGATTTGCAGTCTTCTAGTTGAATCCTTAGAACTGTAGCCCTCTCTATTTTAGTCTTCTCCTTCATCAGGAATGTAACTTAATTCTGGTTTAAAATTCTTGGGAGCAAAAGTTCCAAGTTTACCCAGTTATAGCTACCTGCTTCTTATGCAATACTCATGAGTACATTATACAAATGAAAAAAGGAGGGACAACTGGATCTAATACCAGTGGTATTAGAGAAGAAAATGACATTATGGCGAAATAAAAGAAAAATCATAACATTCCTTGAAAAACTACCTAAGTGATGTTTTCTTCATAGTATCTATTGTCAAATAGCCCCAAAGATATTGTTCAGCTTAAGCTCCCAGCTTCCTCCTCTTTGGTCATGTTTCCCAGGATTGCTGGGAATTGACATTTAGCAACAAGAGTACCACATTTTTTCATCTTTATTTATTTCATGGCTAGGAAATCATTTTCTTGAAAGTAAAACTCTTTTGGCGTAAAATAATTGGTTCTTTTGTTGAGAAAAGGTGATCTGGATCATCTTCTTCTCAATCTCTGGACATTATTAGTATAATCGAAGAATGTATAATAATGTAAGGAAATGCTGAATTTAAAAAAATGCTCTTTTCCCACATTGCACCAAGATTTGATTTATACCAAGATCTTGCCAAATGGCCTAGTTTGTTAGGTTACTTGCACATAATGGTGTTACTTGAAACTCTTCTTTTGAAATATGCCTTCTGTTTTTGGCATCTTGAGAGTCAAGAAACTATAAAAGCACATAAATTCATGGTTACAGGTTCAAGACAAAATCTGGATTTTAGAACAAACTTGGTTTGATTTGGCCTTTCATCGTAACCTGTATCCATATACTTTTACTTACATGTAACTCAATTGGGGAAACCTTCATTTTCATTATGCCAAAGAGAAATCAGCAGTTATGGTAGGATTGTACCCAGCTTTCCTCAACCAGCTGCTCCCCTGATGTGTTGAGAGTTCAAGTCCCAAAATTTCCATCCAATAATCCTAGTAACTTTGAATATTGAGCTATGTTAACCCAGAACATTTGGTGAGCAATAGATTGGAGGAGACTATTATAACAGTTACAGGAACATGAAATAGAGCTAGTTATCTCTGTAGTTGTTCTAGCACCAGATAAGTATCTTTTATGCAAACGTGGTCTTTCCTAGATCCTAGCTGGGCAGACAAATCTGATCTGTCCTCAAAGTCTACGAAACCCTCACAACTGGTGGCGGCTGATACAGGAGCAGCAGTGTGGGACCAACCTAACTCAGGTGGCTCCTGCTCTGGCAAAGACGAGAATTGGGCGTCCTTTCCAGAACCCTCTGAACAGCAAGAGAGGTGAGGCTTTGGGATGATTAAATGCTTACCCATTTGGGAACTGAAGGGAACTTCAATTAGATTTCTGGGGCCATGTCTTTCAGGGATTGGTGCTTTCAGGCAATTCTGTGTACCTATGTTGGAAGCATAATGGATGTTCAGGGGTAACATGGATAAATCTTACAGGGGCTTAAATTATCCCATTTCTTAACCACCACATACTAGATGCTGGGTAACATCATTTTGCCATCATGTTTTGGTGATAGAATCAAGAAGTGCACTGGAAGCTGAATGTTGTCATTCATCAGATTTTGCTCATTTCTCCTACAGGTAGGGGGTAGGGTTAGGGTCCAGGGCAAACAGAATTGGAAGTGATGAGAAGAGGAGTTTGGAGGAGAAATAACAAATTTGGGAGCCCATGCTGCAGTCTACACAGTCAATTGAAAGCGGCCAAGGAAGGGATTTTTGGACTTTTTACTTATTTGGTTGTCTATGGGGCTTCTTCAAGAGGCAACTGGAACTTTCTCGTTTTCCTTTGAAGACGTTTTGCTTCTCATACAAGAAGCTTCTCCAGCTCGGTTTTCAGGACATTGTTGTTTGGTCACAGAGTCAGCTAGATACTTAGATCTGGCATTTGTATCCACCTATCAAGTCCTTCCCAAGGAGAAGGGATAAGACAGATGTTTTGGTTAATAATATTAAAGGCATCATCTTAGGATATAAGCTCTTCCAAGTAAAACATTTTGCAATTGACTGATGGTAATTTTGTCAATTATTATTTTGTTTTGCTAGTTCTTCTAAAGTGCCCACAGAGCCAGCCAGCCTCTCTCAGGAAGTGGCACAAAATAATGGATTCCAAGTAGAAGGTGAGCATCACTGATTCTTCAGAAACTGCTTTATTGTGTCCAAAGTCAATGTGATTTATTTATACAAAACTACTGAAAAGTA